AGAGAGAGAGAGAGAGAGAGAGAGAGAGAGAGAGAGAGAGTACTCGAGTGACGTTTCCGAACGCAGCCATAAGGAGAAATAAAGTCGCGGAACAAGCGCGGAAAAATCCATTGTCACAAGATATCATAAGTTATTACAAGTTGTTCAACCTAACTGCTTTTACATTAAGACGTGTTCAAACACGTTCGGACCTGATATTTTTTTTGGAATTCATACCTTAGTATCTTGGATGAAAAGACAATAGAGAAAAATTTTGAGTCTTCCGCTTTTTCAACGTACGGGAAGATATTATTCAATTCGTGGAACGCGGAAATCTAGTAAGATTTTGTCTTCCGCGTTTCCGCGCTACATGTAATGGCACCCTCAAGCATCGGGCCCCAGGAGTTCGTCTCACGAACAACAAAGGGTAATGTATCATACTTAAAGTGTATTAATATTTTATCTTCTTTATTTAAAAAATTATGTAACATATTATTTCAGTTTATTAATTATTTGAGATTCTCAAACTCTCCTTAAACAAGGACTGAACCTGTATTAATAGTTATTACTTGAAACTTGTCTCACGTCAAATGATCAGATTGCAAATATTAAAGATGCGCTCGTAATCACCGAAATTGCACATGCTGTACAAAAAATGGCAAATACTGCTGCTATACAAGCTATTAATGACAATAAACGGATTGAAATATTTGAGAAACTTACAGTTATTTTAGAAAACTTGTTACGAACGTATCTTAAAAATTAGCTTAATATTAAGTTCAATAATTCGATTACTCTATAATGTAATAACATATAGTTAATTATTTGATGTAATTAATAACGTTGTCGTTTAACTATTATTGCATTTTAATATACTGTTACTTTCTTTCAGGCTGCTTTATGAAACAAGCAGTTCCTGAAGAATTTGACAAGATATTGCGACTGCGAGTATTGTCCTGTCTATTAGCGTGTTCGACTGGCCCTGGGTTATCGCTCCGAGAGCGATTAATAACGTCATAAGTCTCTAGCCAATCATAAA